CCGGGGCTTCTCGCGTTCACGCCTTTCCTCCTTACCGCTTCTCCCGGTAAGGTAAGTCCCGCGGCACTGACCGAGGTTGCCGATTTAGAGCCGCCTTTAGGCGGGCGGTAAGCTAACTCGGGAAACATGGAGCGATCCGGAGCCGGAGGGGCTCTAAAATTCTTCGCTACGCTATAACTACGCTCTACTCGCGCTGCCCAGTTTTCTAAGGACGGAAAATCGTCAATAGTTTCGCGGTGCACTGCCACCTGCAACCGCGGCAACATATTCCTATGCGCGTAATTGAGCTGCTCTTGTAGAGGCCATTGCGGGTCTAAACGATTAAACAAAGCCTGTAAGCACGTGAGATAGTCGGCTACCGATTCATTCTCACCCTGCGTTCTTCGCAATATCTCATCCCTAAGCGCAAACTGGAAATCCGGGTCGCCGAATCGAGAACGCCATGCCTCTTCGAAGGCCTTCCACGTCCGCCACCTACCCCTATTCGTTCGGAACCAGTGGAGGGCGATTTCCGTTAGGAAGAAGGGCAGACACTTAAAAATATCTTCGTCCCCTACGGGGACTAATTCACGCCCTTCCTCTATACGGATCAGAAATGCTTCCGCGTCGCCCCCGCGGGCCCCTGAGAAACTGAGGTTCCATCTCCTCATTATATTATAGACGTCGGTAGCGGAGTTATTATTATTACGGTTTCTAGTCCCGCGACTAGCTATTGGTCCTAAGCGTGACGTAGGCGGAAGTGAGATTAGGCTTTCCTTCATCTCGGTAGCCTCCTCCGCTTCGTCCCCGGACGAGGCGGTGAGTTCTGGTGTCCGGATGGGATCACGCCCGATTCGTACCGCCTCCTCGTAACGGAGCAAACGTTCGCGAAGCGTGGGCACTATTCCCTTAATCGACAGACCCCTTTCTTTAAGCTGTTCTTTAAGAGCGTCCTGAGTAAGCGCATTAATCCAACTAAAGGAGGTATTGGGTTCGGTCATCTTGCCGATATAGTTTTATGCAACACGGAAAAAAAACTATTCTTTACACACAACAAAAAAAAATTCCGACTGTATCGCTATAATTACTGAAGAGCACCACAGAGCTCACGGTACGGGGAAGGTAGATTAGGCCCAACGCAAAAAAAAAATCCTCACGAACGCAAGAGAGATTCCAGCAAAAGCAAAAAAATCCTCACAAAGTAGAAGAAAGAAAAAAAAATTTTCTCTCACTAAGCGAACGAATCCTACGCGAGAAGAGATCTGGTCAATTTAAAAGTTTATTTGCCTTTATTAAGGTAACTATTATCTAGACTCTTCACGAAGGCCAAACAATATAGGAACGAAACGGTAAACACGCGCTCTAATGTACTCAATCACAACTTACTAATAAGCGTGTTATCGTATCGCGAACTTCCCGAATATTTATTTTGAGGCTTATACGCGGCTACTAAGAAGCCATCAAGGTCTCGCTCGGAATATCGGCCCTTATTTAGCGCGATTATTACTGGCGAACCCTCAAGCTACTCTATTCACCGCGAAAAACGCACAAAACGTCGTCGATAAGGAGAATATACACGAAATCACCAAAAAGCTACACCAAAAGTTCCCCCCCTATCTATTCGACGTACTTCGGTAAGGATCGCGACACGTTACTCGTAATCTCTATTCAATGGTCATAACACGAACGAACTCAGATTCGCGTCGTCTTATTATGAACGGACTTTATTCATCCGCGCGCGATGTTTACATCAGCGCGCCGCTACACACGCACAACACAATAGCGCGGCAGAAAAACAGCTGTGTGGAATTCCGACGCGAGCGGCTACCCCGCGCGACGCGCTATACACACGGTAGCACCAAAATTCACGATTCCCTCGGGATCGCGCTCATTCACTAGGGGTCGGTGGAAATGCGTTAATTTCGGACCGCTGTATACGTTATCTTAATATTTTTCCCACCCACAATACACAAATAAATCAATCAGAAAAAAAAACAATAAATAAAAAGAATATATCCTGAAAGAAACGGATTACACAAAATAGCGACATACAGCAATATACATATAACACAAATATCCACATATAATCATTGATATTCAATATTATTCTTTATTTAAACTCATTTTCTTTCTCTCTCTCTCCAAAATCTCAAAATTATCTTTAAATTTATTACGACTTCTTAATCGCGGGCCCCACGTTGGGCGCCAAAAATTTGCGACGACTTTTCCGTCGGGCAGAAGTACACCCGCCGGTAAGCGTGTCAAACCTCGTTGCTCTATTTTATAGATCTTAGTAATTATCGCGAAACTTATAGTTGGGCGCCAGGCGCGGATTAACGCGCCACACGAACAAATTACGTTAGAGTCAAATTTTTGCTTTAAAGAGCAACGGCAATAAGCGCGACTAGCCCACTCTACAAATGGCAGAGGGGCGAGGTTCTTTAGAGATGCTAACCTGGTTTGGAGAGAGGAGTCTGAAATAAACGGTTATTAAGAACACACTAATCAGTAACAAATAACATTTAATTATAAATTAGATTAAGTGAGATTGACGCCGGGTGACGGGCGTCTTAACAATTCCGCGGAGTGGAGACATGTTTTATTTCAGTGAGAGGCGTTATGATTTCACTGTTCAACTCGCGGACATCCGCGTACTTCCGCCTCACGCGGTATAAGATTCGGCGTACAAATTCAGTAACTTTCATTCGGTGCGGTTGTTACAATTAGCTCTACTTCAATCTTTCTTCATAACGGTTAGCCTACAATACGAACTCTATCTCAGTATTATTCTGACGGTTCTGAATGTAAACGCTCGACCGAAAGCCGAGGCGAGAGATACGCGATAGGCTAACTCCACAATTCTAACACTCGGTACAGCAATACATCAATAGACGCGAAATTATCATTCATGAACGAGAGACATTACTTAATGCAAAACGACTGTCGGCTCGGCAGCCCCGAGGGGGATAGCATGGTGAAATCTTATTCTATAGAAGCGGTAGTCAGCGGGGCCCGGCCTAAATCTAACCTCGCAACATATCGCGAGACATTTCGGTACTCTTAATACACTTTCACGAAAACCAGGCGGGTTCTTATTTCCGCGAGGCTCGGGCCGCCTACTGGTACCGCTCTTACCGCGAAGTCGAAGTGGTGGCCTTACAAATCGCTGGTACGCCCGTGGTAGTCCTCGAGGTTTCGCCCTGGTTGCCGACTCGCCGAACAGTGACGACAGCGAGGCTCGCCGGACAGCGGTGACCTTCCGCGCATCGTCCTGCGCATGTAGATCCGCGCTATCGATTAGCGCTACTTGATCCTTCGATATCTCTAACGATCTCGATCCTCGCGTCGCTCCTCGATTTTTCGGCCCTCGGTGACGCTTTTCCGAGGTGACCCCGGTCTCTCTCTTTTGGCAGCTGCCGTTAACGCCCTTCGTGGCCTTCTCCGTTTCCAGATCCGAGCCTTCTTTGAATCGGTCGTGAACTGGCCAGGTTCCGACCGGATTCCTCTTTCCTGGCTCGTTACAACAGCTCCTTGTTCGGGTACTCCACCCCGGGTCTTCGGCGTGTGAGAGCGCGCTTCCCTCTCGGGCGTCATCTCTCTCGGTGCGTTCACCGGCCTCGATATGCTCCGTATCTGAAATCGTAACTGCGGTAGCGACTGTGTCTGGAATCGAATGATATTGGCAAGGGTGTTTTTTACTTGCCCTTATCCTGGATCCGTCTGCACGCCGTCCGGGCCTCCGTCGTCCTGCCTGCTGAGTCCCTCGCAGGTCCCACGAAGGCTGCTCCACGGTAATTCACAATATGGGAGTTTGGCCACTCACCACGACTCGCTTAATTCGCTACAACGCAAAATCTAAAATCTCCAAAAAAGGAATTAAGAGGGAGAGGTCGTCGCCCCCCCGCGGTGGGGTCTCCGACCTCAAATTTCCCTCCCCGATCGGGCTTTCTCGCCCTTGTGACGGACGTCAAAAAAAAGTCACGTCACAGTTGACTAGGAGTTATTCCTCTCGTGGCAAGATCAGCTGGATTTTCTGTACCAGGGACAAAGTTCCAACTAGCTGAAGGTAGAGTTTCTTGTATAAAGCACACTCTATTGTGTACGAAATCTTTCCATCGTGATGGATGATTCGAGATCCAGGTAAGCGTTATGGATGAATCTGTCCAAAGATAGATTTTAAGAGCCTCCTTTTGGAGAACTCTAAGTACTTGTGATACTAGCTTGGTCAACAGAACGGCTCCTGATAGTTCTAATCGTGGGATCGTCAATCTCTTTAATGGTGCGACTTTCGTCTTTGAACAGACAAGCTGAATGTGAATCTGTCCGTTTGTAGAAATTGTTCGACTGTAAACAACAGCAGCCATTGCTCTTGATGAAGCGTCACAAAACTCATGTATCTCCAAGGACTGAGATGCCGTGGTACCAAGCCATCTTGGGAATTTGAGATCAGGTATCGTCTTACAGTTCTCGACAAATCTAGTCCACTCATTGACTATGTTAGATGGTAAGGGTTGATCCCAATCAAGTCGCAAGGTCCATAATTCTTGAAGTAATATCTTGGCGGTTACCATAACTGGTGACAGAAATCCTAAAGGATCAAAAACCTTTGCGATAGTAGAAAGCATGTTTCTTTTGGTAACGATCTCCGTTTTAAACGGTTCTGAAAGGAAGCCAAAATTGTCTGTCGCAGGATGCCATAAAAGGCCAAGCGAATGCACAATAAGATTATCATCGATACGTATAATAGAAGAGTCAAGACGACTTTTGAGCGGTATAGAATTCAATATTGTGGACTCGTTACTAATCCATTTCTGTAAAGGAAAACCGCCCGCCATGCAGAGTTGTTTTACTTGTTCTACAAGCTCTTGCGTTTCAGTAATTGAATCCGCGCCTCCAAAGATATCGTCTACGTATCTACCCCTTGTTATGGTAGAAGAGGCCTGAGGAAATCTGCTTCCCTCGTCTTGTGTAAGTTGTTGAATCACCCGTAAGGCCAAGAAGGGTGCACAGACCATGTCATAGGTGACTGTCGTAAGTTCATAGGGAGTGAGTTGTTGATTCTGATCCAACCAAATAATACGCTGATATTTCCAATCGTCAGGATGAATTTTGATCTGTCTAAACATCTTTTCGATGTCAGCTGAAAATACGAAAGAAAACTGTCTGAACCAAAGTAGTACGTCAAATATATCTACTTGTAATTTAGCCCCTGAATATAGACAATTGTTCAAGGAACATCCTGATGTAGTAGGACTCGATCCGTTAAATACAACTCGTAGTTTCGTAGTAAGACTACTTTCTTTCCAGACTCCGTTGAGGAAGGTAGAAAGCATTGTCAGGTTCCGGCATTGAAAGAGGCACTTGTATCATGTGCCGCAATTTCTGATACTTAGTCATAAACTCTGAGTACAGTTGAGCATATTTCGAGTCAGTTGAACAACGTTTTATTAGTTTGCTGCATAGGAGTGTTGCCTTTCGTTTAGAATCACCTAAATTCTTGACTGAACTCTTAAAAGGCAGCTTAACAATATATCTTCCGTGGGTGTCTCTAGAATGCGTGGCTATGAAGTGATTCTCACAAGTTTGTTCTTCAGCGGTCAAAGAGTTACGGTGAGTTTCGGGAACTGATTCCACTTCCCAAAATTTCTGCATGAGATGACAAATTTCTTCGTTGCTAGATATGTAATAGCTCCGTAGTGTTTGCTGAGAGCCTCCTTTACTTGTTGGTCCAGAAACGATCCATTCTAATGTTGTAGATTGGGCTATAGGCGAGTTAGCCAGTCCCTTGACGATTCCTTCTTCTATGATTTGACCATAAAGGTCGGCTCCCAAAATAATATCAATTGGGCCGGGTGAACAGAATTGAGGATCTGCTAGTAGTAACCCGTTTAAGTGAGACCACGATTCTTGAGCAAGTTCCACAGTAGGTATTGAGCTAGTAAGATTAGGCAAAATGTGCGCAGACACCGATATCTTGTAATTGGATCGAAAGTGTGGTTTTATTTTAAAATGGACTAGTCCTTTAGTTTTATTAGAGGTTTGTTCTCCGATTCCAATCAATGGTACAAATGAGCGAATACGAGGTAATCTAAGTCGTTGAACTAATCTTTCCGTGATTAATGAAATTTCGGAACCTTGATCGATTAATACTCTTGATTTTGCAAAGTTACCGTATGGGCTAAAAATCAGAACTTGAGCGGTAGCAAGAAGAGTCTGCGATAAGATGGATTTATGTCCAGTGCTGGAGTGCAACACTTGAGCTTCCGGTTGTTTCGTTTGGTTATTATCCGTTGATTTTGCAGGTTGAGTAGTGCAAGGATGTATAGTGGTGTGATGCCTCTTACCACATTTCTGACATCTTCTAGTAGTAGAACAATTGATTATTCTATGAGGCCCCAAACAGTTGTAACACAATTTGTGCTTTGCAATGAGTGCTAATTTTTGAGCTCTTGATTTGGACGAATATTGCGAACAAATTGACGTATGATGATTCCCTGAACAAATTAAACACTTGTAATTCTTGTTAGGAATATTTTCCTTGTTCTTTCCTTGATAATGTGCTTTGATAGCATTTGTATAACGTTTTACGTGAGGTTTTCCGAATCGTGTTTTCTCTAGTGCTTGAAGTGAACGTAATCGAGTTACCAAAAATTCACACAATTGAGTCCATGTCGGTGGATTCTTTGAGCTTCCCAGATGAAGTTCCCAGGCTTTGATTGATTCAGAATCAAATCGTTGTGAGACTATAAACACCAGAAAGTCATCCCACATAGAGACGGGTCTTTGTAATGTTTCCAAAGAGCGGTGAATTTGTAAAACTTGTGTATATAGTTGCTCCATCTCGCTTGCTGACTCTTTGGTCATTCTTCTGACCGTGAGTAACGAATTTAGTGCTGCGTTGACTAGCAGGCGTTTATTTTCATAAAAGGAGATTACACTTTGCCAGGCCTTTTCAAAATTATCCGCTATAAGAGTTGTATTCTTGAGTAAAGGTGCTGCCGAACCAGTCAGACTTGTCTTCAAATATTGTAATTTTGCAACAGGAGTTAGTGTAGAATTATCGAGTACTAAGGCTTGAAATAGATCCTTAAAGGACAGCCAATCAGCTGGCGTTCCATTAAACTTCGGAAGATCTATGCGAGGCAGTCTTGCTTGTTGTAAGCATGTTGGCATACTAGAAGATGTTGTACTCGAAGATTGAGTAGTCGCGGTTTCGTTATTGGTTCCATGGTCTGATTCGAGTAGAGATTGTATTCGTTCCAAATTAATCAAATAATTCTCATGTGTAACAGAGAACAAGTTAAGAACAAAATAATGATGTTTTTTAATTTGAAGTTTGTCTTCTAACGTCAACTCTTTGATTGCTAAGATAAATTACAAGGTTTTTATTAAAGTTTAAAATTTTAGTTTAAGTATGAAATAAGAAGTACAAAATTTAAGTACATAAAAGACTGAAATAACTTTTTTGTTAATTTTGCAGAAAGATTTATTTTTGTTATTATTTCAAATATATTTTATTCTAATTAACTATATCTATTAAATAAATGGCGATAATAAATTTACATGAGGTATCAAAAGTTTAAGTTAGTTTTATGAATTTTGCCAAATATTACATATAGACTTTAAGTATAAAAGTAAAAATACTACTTTTAAAAATACAAAATTTAGGTTAAACAATTTTTATTAATATATTTTTATATTTTTATTAATATATTTTTATTAATATATTTAGTAATAATTTTTATTTATTCTTAAAAAAATACATGTTTTTTTCTAATTATTTCTAATTATATTGCTATACGTTAATTTACATACGATAATAAACAAAAATGTAATATGTAATTTAATTACATGTATAATGCTTGTTTTGCTTATATAAATGTAAGGTGTTTTCACTAAGAAACAGAGTTTTTAAAATTTTGAGATATATATTAAATAATGCAGATACACTTAATAAACGCGTCTTTTCGTCTTTTCGGCTCGGTGATCTCCTTCACTCTGCCCGCTCGCTTGCCTACTCGCTCAGGCCTCAAAACAAAACATCTCCCCACGCATCGACATCCTCGCACGCCCGTTACATTATTTTTCAAATCACTTAGAAGATGAATTATGTTTTCCTATTTATTTATTCCTACATTCGGCCGTCCTGACCGAACATTCGCCTCGAATGTTCGCCAGTATCAATTTCCTCGTCGCTGTCGCCCATGCTATCCGTCATCGCACACCCTTGGCCTCATAGAATCCGCGGACGACAAAGTCTGAAGAGGTCCCTCTCGTTCGCCAACTTTACGAACAACGTAATGATTATTTCGTAGGACCCCGATGATCTCGTATGGATCAAGATACCTGTGCGCAAACTTGAGTCCAGGGTCGCGTTGAGTTCGTCGGATTGCGACAATGTCACCGTCTCGATAGCTGAATGCTCTTTTCCTCTTAGAATCGTAATTCTTTTTAAGTACCTCTAACTCGTAGCTTGTATATCTTTCTTCCGCAGGTGTCGTCTTACCGCTCGCGTAGTACACCGGGTGTAACAACTGATCTTCGCTATCTCGTTGCAGGAGAATCGCTCCATAACCGTACATTGATGCGTCCGTATGCAGCTCCGTGTCTGCACCCAACCGATGTAAGTTTAATACGGGTCGCTCGTTTAACAGAATCTTCAACCGCGTAAACGCATCTTTCTCGACCGCTGCAAAATCAAATTCAACATTCGCTCGCAAAAGATTTGATAACGGTCGCGCAATTATTGAGTATCCTGGAATAAACTCGCGAAAGTATCCCGTTAAACCCAGGAACGCTTGTACCTGTCGTATATTCGTCGGTTTAGGAAAGCGCCTCACTGCTTCCGTCTTGTGCTCTGAGGGTCGGACAGAGCCACCCTCTATCGTGTGTCCAGGAAACTCGACTTTTCTTTGCAGGAAACAACATTTTTCCCAATTAATAATCGGACCGGCGCTGCCAGCCGTTTCAAGCACCTTCTCAAGATTTCTCAGTCCGCTCGCGTCGTCAGAAAGAACAATTAGGTCGTCCATATATACTAGTGCTATTCTATCTCGAATTAATTCTCGAAAAATCGCGTTTACATATCGCTGAAAGACTGAAGGGGAACGATTTCTAATTACTTTCTTATTTAATAATCTGTAATCAACGCATAGTCTATGTATACCGTTCTTTTTCTTTACGAGTACTACGGGACTCGCGTATTCGGAGGAAGAAGGTCGAACGATACCTTGCTTCTCCCACTCGTCAATCTGCGCATTCACTATATCTTTCTCTGATGGCGATAAGCGCCTCGCTTTTTGGTACACTACTTCATCGTCATCGTCATCGTCATCAGTTTCGACACCGTCTTGCTCGGCTTATAATTCTTTATACAATTTGTTATCGCACGTCTCGATTCCACGTCTTGAATATGCGTAAACTCATTCACTTCTTTCTCGCTCTCCATGCTGATCTGGAATATTTCCGGTCGACTTTCCTCGTCGGTAACTTCGCACATTGGACTAATACGGATCGCGCCTTGCCTTACGTGAATTTCTACCGTATCTAGGAAGTCGGTTCCAATTAATAATTTTTGTTGCAACACCGTATCGGAAACAACTCGAATAAGAATCGGGTAAGTATGTCCGTCAATTGTAATTTTAGTTTGGAACTCTCCTAGGGCCGCGATACCCTTGGATCCTACTCCTGAAAATTGAATTTTAGTTGGCTTAAATCGAGGTGATCCTATACTAACGTATTCGTCCGCACGCATGATCGAGATATCGCTTCCCGTATCGATAAGCGCCGCAATAATCTTATCATCTATCGTCACTTCCTTCGTATATTTCTTACGCGAGGAGTGTGTCACAGCGTAAGTGTTTCTTACTTCGCCGCTTTTTCTCGGACACTTCGAGGCAATATGTCCGTGCTCGTCACAATTAAAACATTTCGCACCTAGCTCTCTCGTCGGACACGCCGCGCTCACGTGATCTCGCATGCCACAATTGTAACATCGCCGCACATCCGTCGTCGTCTTCCCCGCTCCGAAGCTAGAATCGCTCCTATCGCCTCTCTCACCCCCACCAGTCCTCTCGCCTCGTCCAGCCGTCGCCGAGCCGCCGCCCCTCCCGTCCCGTCGATTCGAGCTCACCGCGTGACGATCTCGTAGAGTCACCTTTTCAAATGCTTCGAGTAAGGATTCCGTCGTGTCGAAACGTTGTATGCGCGCCTGATCGCGCAATGCACTGTCTGGAATACCGTCTATGACGTAGTCCAACATCTCATCGTCGTCGATCGGTACGCGATTTCCCATGATTATTTTCTCATGAACGTACTCGTGAAAAGTTTCGTCCTTCCTCCATAGACGTCCCTCAAATCTTCTTCGCATCGTTACCCTGCTTTGGCGATGACGAAACATCCTCTTTAGCTCACCAATAAGCGCGTCAAACGTCATCTCAATGTACTCCGGTTTCGAGTGAAACCACTCAAGTGCCTTTTTTTTTCAGCTTCATTCCGATTAAAATTTTTGCAAAGTCATCTTCTAGTCTATACGTCGCTCTTATAAATTTAATTTGTTTTTCCCATGTGTCAAAATTACTAGAAACACCGTCGAACTCACTCACTAAGTCCGCAATTGTCGTCAAATTCATTCGCATATTTACCGACGGTAATGCTATAGCACCGCCGTTGCCATTATTTGCCGCGTGTGCCTGGTCCACTATGCCCGCACGTTCGTTAGCACGTAACATCGCGATCTCGCGTCAAGCGAGTTCAAGTTCGCGCTCGGCCAATTCTTTTTCACGTCGGTATAGCTCAATCGCTTGCTCGCATAGGCCATCTTCACGTCGCGAATTTTCCTCGTCGTCGTCGTCCATCCATCGACCTGAGGGATCATTTTCTACTAGGCGAGCAATAAGCTCGGCTTTCGTTCCCGTCGTCGTTAATTTACGCGTCTTCGCCTTCTCCTTTAATTCCAGCACCGAAAAGTCGTTTGGTTGAGGCATAATTATCGTATTTTCTAATCACCGAAGACCTCAACGTATTCACAGCGTTCTGGTTGTCTCGTGTATTGTTATTACTTTTTTCGTGTTCTTTTGCGTCCTGGCGCGCTTTCTCTGCTCGTAGCTTCGTACGCCTTGCGATCGTCTTTATCATGCACACCGTTCTTATTTTAACCGTCGTATATTCGTCTTTTTCCGCGAAAAACGTCGTACCTCTTATAATTGTTCTCGTCGCCCACGCACACTGAGTTTTTACGCCGTACTCAATGCTCGTCGTCGTTTCGTCGTCTCTCAATAAATTCGGCACGTCGTACTTCCGGTATATCGCACAATCTCACCTCTGTT